ATCGGAACTGAGCATTAAGACCTGCAGTGTGAACGTAGCCAAAGTGACCGGCGAATAAAGTGCATGTGAAATTTTGCGCTCGCTCACAAGCTTGCGACGCGACCCAGCAAAGTTGAAAAATGTTCAACTTTTGTCGCTGTCGCCTGGCACAACAACCAATCAGCGAGGGTTTCATTGACTGACCAATAAGAAGAGAGTATGCTACACACTGCAGTCAGCACCAGTTTCAACATGGAGGAAAACATTATTTTGACTGTATCTGACTTCACGATTTTATTTGACACTTTCCGAAGTGATTACAGGGATGTAGATAAAAAGGCAGCTGTGGGAACTTGTTGGTGCAAGTTGTCTGGTAAGTTTTCAACACATAAAGTTGCATTTAAGAGTCCATTTTTCTCAGTTTTTTAAACATTAGTATCACAGGATTTGTGCTGTTGATCCTCCAACGTATAGTAATGTTTATATGTTATATAATGTATACCATTATATAAATGTAGCCTATATAAAGTTATGACTTTACTATTATAATAAATAAATAATACTTTTACAGTGAAAAAAATGACATATATGCAAGTATAATCTACAAATACATTTATTTCATTGATATTTCAATAAAGGAAAATATTAAATCAACTCATTTGTAAGGGTTATTATAAAACAATAGTTAATTAAACATATAAACTTGTCTGAACATATATTAAAGACTCCACAAACCAATAAAGCACAGTCATTTTTTTGGACAAATTGTCCATGAATTCCCTGATTACATAAAAATGTTGAATTGTCCTCAACACCATGCCAGGGGGGAAAATGTCTTAAACCCATCTATAATATTTGATGTTGCCATGGCACCTCTCCAGCTGTCGAGTTGAAGCAGTCACAGTATTGTTTTCTGATTGAAGCTGCCTCTCTGCTTGAGTTGTTGGAGCCAGTCTGGGTGATGGCCTCCAAATCAGCATCTCTTGTGTTGTCAGTGGGTGGTAACTGTGGAATCCCTCGCTCCATTTCTCCATTTTGCCACATGTAATTATGAAGAACACATTTTGCCTTCACAACAGAATCAGCTTTCCCTGGGCAGATACCCAGAGCATGGCGATACATTCGCCACGGGATAGAAAGGATGCCAAAAGCATTTTCAACTACTCTCCTGGCACGAGACAAGCGGTAGTTGAAGCACCTCTCTTTTCTTTGTAGCTGTCTCACTGGATATGGCCTCATGATGTGTCATTGAAGGAGGAAAGCTTCATCTGCCACAAGTACATGTGGCATTGGCCCCAGGTCCTCTGCACCTTGTATTGTGGTGTCTTCTGGTATGCCCAGTGGGCCTGCACTCAGACGTTTTCCAAGTGGAGACTCTGAGAAGATGCCCCCATCACTGTTCCTCCCGTATCCTCCAATATCAATGACTCTAAACATGTAATTAGCATCAACTAGAGCTAAAAGTACAACAGAAGGTGAGCCTTTGTAGTTGAAGTATTTGGAGCCAGAGGATGGAGGAGCTTGAAACACAACGTTTCCCGTCTAGTGCACCAATGCAGTTTGGGAAATTCCATCTGGTTTTGAAACCCTCTGATATGGCTTTCCAGTCATCTGTTGTTGGCTCTGGCATGTATTCAGGCTGCAGCACATCCCAAATGGCCTGTGAGACGTCATCCACAATCTTTCCAACAGTTGAGTTTCCCACACGGTAGTTGAACCCAATAGTTGTAAAGGAATCTGAAGAAAATGTACAGCGGGTAAAATAAGTATTGAACACGTCAACATTTTTCTTAGTAAATATATTACTAGAGGTGCTAATGACATGAAATTTTCACCA